CCCCAAAACCCCAAAACCCCAAAACCCCAAAACCCCATAATAATATTTTCATGTTGAAATAAAAGTTATGGGTATCTCCATGGTTCACCGATAAAATATGATCTAAACATGCTTGGGGAAACATTTCAGCGAAAACTATGAAGAAAACTCAGAGAACTTCAATAGATGAGCTAATAGTGGACAAATATGGGTGTAAATTAAAATTATTTCTACATTTCACTTCCATTTTGGAATATATAAAGTAATTCAAAGTTTTTATGGAACTGAAATATTTACCTTGTTCTTTGGGTTCTCTGCTTGAATTAGGTTACATCTTTTATTACTACAAATTTTCTCAAATTAAGTTCATCATACTATTTGATAACAAAGTTTTGTGGACTGGAATTCAAGTAATCTTAAGCTTTGAAGCTTTTATGTGAAATTTTGTTCTTGAACTGGGGTGAAAATCTTGTATAAATATTCCTTTGCTTTATAAAGATCCAAAATTCTTTAGTAATGTTTGATCAAGGCTTTACTGTAAAAGCAAGGACCATAAATACTTCAAATACTGTCTTTAACTAGTAATTTGAAGAGTTATTCTTGAAAAAATTCCTCGATGATCTCTTTCCTTTTTATTCTCAGAAAAATAGTAAAATCTTTTCTTAAAGCTCTTGTCTCACATCTCTAAATCATTTTTCAATTGTTAGGAACTTCTTACTTAGCCTTCTACTCTTGAGGTTCCTCCAAAGATTCTAAATTATCATGAATTCTGTCTGGTAGCTATAAAAATTACTGTAGATGTCTAAAACTTCAGGCTAAAAGGCTCATATCTTATCCTTGATTGGTGCTGTAAATTAGCACCTGAAATGATCGCAAAATCTAGGTGAAAATTCATCAATTTATAGATAATTTGTAATGAGGACTACAAAACTAGTTTCTTGATATAATTTTGCAGTATAAATACACTCTAATCGAGGAAATAGTCCAAGAAATAATTATTATTGATAGTCTTTGTAATTAACTTTTAATAGCATCTGGAACTGTGGAACTAGACATAAAACAGGACTTATCATTAAAGCTTCTATTTTTGAGTTACCCAGAAAGCTATATAAGATTAAAGCTCAACAACGAGTGTAAAAATGTTGAGCTTAGTTCCGAGGAGCTTTCATTTATGTTTCTCTCAGTTAAGAAATCAGAGAAGCGAATTTACTTCCAAAAATACCCAAGAATTCTTCTTGAGAAATAGCTATTTTTGAAGAGTGAACTCTTGACAAGACTAGTGGCCAAGTGAAGTTTATGGAAGAAAGGATAGACAGGGAGTTGGTGATGGTACGGTGAAATGCTGTTACTGTATGACTGGGAGATTCGGCTACAGCAAACCAATTATTGCGACTTGATGGGAAATTGGTGGCAGTAGCCCACTGGGACGTGAGAGGAGAGGGCGATATTGAAGCAAGGATCATAGGCAAGACGAACAGAAAGTTATGAGGAGCTGGGTTATTGGTTATTAGCGCTGATTCAGACATTTGGTATTTTTGAGAATTTATGGAGATATGGGGTTTCAGATGGAGATTAATGTTTTAGGCTGTAGAAATTAAACTAAGGGAAGAGACTTGGTTTCTGAGAACAAAAATAACATAATTAAATAAAAATTAGATATAAGTTCAGATGAGCTTCAAATTTACTTGGAGATGACCCAATGTTGGTCATCCGCACCAAACTGTATATAATTTTTACATAATTCTCTTCAAATATAAAACAGAACCATCCACCAGATTGTGTGAAATCATTTTATAACTGGACATAAAACTTAATAGCTCTAATTATTTCATCCTCACATAATTATTTCTTGTTTCAAAAGCTTTGAGAGGTTTTATGCCCCTTTTCTGAAATGATTTACATTCCAAAATGGCAAAACTTGTACTTAAAGTTATTCTTTTTACAGGATTTTATATCATGCGATATTTATGTATGGGATCGTTTCTTTATGAGTATTTTTAACGTGGACCATACCTTCAGAGTGTGAGTTAATTTCGCATCAAATGGAATAAACCTAAGAGAGCCTTGTGAAAAGTTCCTAACGTGATAAATGATAGTAAGGGTTTTTACAAATATTTCTCAAAATAGTAAAAATTTACCATTAGATTTGCATTAGTCCAAGAGGTTAGCCTGAATACTCTATGAATCCGTTGAACTGCTAAAGTATTCTGATAAAGAATCATAACCCTCATAAGATGCTTCTTTATATAGAACTGGAAGCCTTCTTTTTCCCATAACATTAGAAGAAAGAGTGATTACTGGGCACCAAATTTCCGTATGTTTTTAATAATCCTTCCTAATTATTTGAATAAGATTCACTAAAATAGTTTATTTTATGGACTAAGATTAAGTACGCATTAAAATATCCTGTAACGTCTACCCCTATCCTTGGCTGCACTAACGTGAGAATAACTAGTTTATGACCTAAAATATTTCAGAAAGGTTTCTCTTTGAAAAATTTGTCATTAGCGATGCAGTTTATTCAACCAAATCGTTATTTTAAACCAAGATTTGTTCGATATTCTAAGCCACAAGTAATTATTGGCTGAAGGTTTGAGCCACACTCTTAGTCTGGTTTCTAAAGTACGACTGAATAAAGCATGTTTCTAAAATACGACTGAATAAAGCATAGATGAGTTCCAAACAAAAAATTCTCCATTAGTTTCTACATCTCAGCGAAATGAAGAACTGATGTACTAAGCGAACATAACTGAATTAAGAAGGTGGGCTATCTTCAAAAAGATCTACTTCACTACAATTTCGGTGTTCCTCTATAAAAGTTTAAATTTTCTGCCAAACCAATAAAGACATAACTGTCACCGCTAATTATAAAAGCCAGAAGAATTATGACATCCTTTCGTCCTTTATATGTCTATAAACTCTGTACATAATTCCAAAAGCCCTTCAGACTTTGAGTTTCTTAACTTACCTAAATCTCTGTCTCTTCAAAAGGGAACTTTTAGGTCAAAATATCAGCCTACTTATACCCCTTCCTCCCAATTTTCCATTCACGCTTAAAAACCGCCTATTTTCACCACAGAAAAAGCACCTCTTAAATTACTAAGCCAGTCAAAATTTAGGCAGAGGAGGGAGAGTGGCCGGCTTGGAGAGGAAGAAGTGGAGGGAGGGGGTTGGGAGTGGGAATTTGTAGTGGATAAGGCGGTGAATTATTGGTTCTTGGTATAGGAAGAGATTTTGTGGAGATTTGGGTAGGAATCAGCACTTTGGTAGTGATCATGAATTGTTCAAAGTTGGGAAAGATATGATGGTATATCGGTGTCTTGTTGAGTTGATTGATTTAAAAATACATCATAGCTTTGAGAAGAGGATATTGAAGTTCTTAGGATCATGGTATGAGATTTAGGCATCCTTTGAAATGATCTCTTCACCAAATTTTGTTAGAAATATAAATCTGTCAGATTCTTAATGAACTTGATTATGAATTTCTGAGATTAAAAGAGAGTTTGGAGTTAGTTTCTAAAACTTTTTAACTACCAGAAATTAAGAAGAAAGCTTTCCAGTAATATTTTAAGAAGCTCCAATTTCTCAAACTCTTGATCCTCAACAATAAAAAACTGCCCACACTAAATTTGATGTCCTCTCTCAGAAATTAAGGACAGTATTCTTCACCTCAAAATCAGCATATAACTATTAGTCAACCACTTTCTTAACCCCAAAAATCCCCTCTACCAATCTTTTCATCCTATGTGTCGTCCTATTTTCATCTAAAACAGTGTCGGTCTCTTTCTCAACAAATTCTGGTGAAACTCTTCTGAAGGTTTTAGAACTAGTTCCTTAACATAGCCAATTTCCCTATTAAAACGGAACTAAGAAGACAACATACTCTTTAAGAATACAAGCACTGGCTATTTTTGAGTTCATACAGAAAGTCTTCTTATAATTCAACTTTGAAAGTAGGCCGAGAGTTTCGATTGATTGAAAGTTTACCACAAGTCTTGGAATACCACTTACAGCAAAAGTAGAGCTTAGTGCTTTATTATAGGGACCGTTCCAGCTATATCTTGCTTGCTATTTGGATAAGAAGTACTTCTAGACCAATAATTTGTTTAACAATTACCACTTTTTATTTGTGCAAGACTTCTTTAAAATTCCCAGAATTTTCATCCCAAATTTTAGAGGCTGGCTTTAAACCTAAAATATTTCAAGAAATGTTATCTATGAATTATTTGAACCTCATTGGCGCTGATTTATTGGCTTTGAGGTTTACCTCAATTAATTTAAGAGGAAGATTATTAAATTCGTTATTTTAGAAAACAAACCAAATTCTGGAAATTTTCAAAATATTAATCAGCCCTCCGCATGTAGTCGTAATAATCTGCTATAAATTTACTATAATAGGTCATATTATTCTTAATAGCCAAATAAATACTTTAGAATCATTTTAAATGATCAGGAGGATGAAGTTATCATATCTCCAACAGACCTAGGCCCCATAAATTGGGAGTTCTGAAAAGAGGATTACATATAGATAAGTTTTAGCAAGGGCTTTAGTTTAATACATAATTCTTTTAAAAATTTGCCTCCAGAAGGTTTTAACTTGCTTAATCCTTAAGAAAGGAGTTAGGTTATTGCAGAAAAAATATTAGCAAGTTGATTCCTCTGCTAATGGCTCTTTTTGGGGTTATAAAATAACAAGAGAATTTCTTACTCACTATTTTAAAATATGAACCTTATCCTAATTTCTTCTTCTATTTTCAAGATATGGAGCTCTTTTGAGTAAATTGTAAGGACCTCTAAACGCTAGTTTCTAAAATCCTATCCTTGGAAGAAGTTTCACAAGAATTTAAAAAACCCAGTTGACATCTTTTTCATAGATAAAATATTTAACCCTTAACTTATTTTATCAAGAAAATTTGTGGTGAGATCCAATCTGCCTCTAAAGGCAAGGACTATGGTAGGATAAATAAAAGATGTTGAGCGGGACAGCTAGGCAGAAACTACAAAGACAGTTTTTGGCTAGGAGACTCTTTCTCATATAGACATGGATTTTCATACTGATAAAAGATTCCTGAAAAAGAAATAGCATTTCAGCTGAATCAAGGATAAATATAAAGTTCAGAATTTTTAAACCATCTCGATTTGATAAAATAACAGAGCTTTATAGAGGAAGTTTATTTAGTTTATCAATTATTAGACTTGTAGTATTCAAGGAGGTTTCTGATCAGCCCAACTGCAGCCTGATAAATCTCATAATTCTTCCTGATAGTCTCGATTTGAGTCGCTCTTTCTGTAAAGGATTTTAGGTATTCTTCAAAAATCGCCGAAAGGTAAGGATTTTTGAAGAACTTCTCACATTTATCCATACTAAAATTGTACAAGTATGAATGAAGCTCTTTCACCTTCCTGAGCTTCTTTGCTCTTTCTTGACCTTTTATAACCTGGCCTTCTTCACCATATATGGCAACCTTCGAGTTTGTCATCTCCTTCGGATACACCAAGCATCCAAGACAAAATTCGATCTGTCTTCTAAACTCTTCTGTAAAGTTTGGAGAATCAAACTTTTTATCAACAAAGACAGCTAAAGTCTTGCTAAGGTGGTAGACTCTTTTATTCTTCCTCATCGTCTTCATTTGGAAGCAATCATAGAAGTATCTTCTACAGTCTCTAAGAAGAGTCTTGTATACCACATCACATCTTGTAGAGAAGGAATCTGTAGGATTTCGGAATTGAAGAGTAGCCAAGCTTCCGGCGTATTTTGGTTTCAACTTTAGCTGCATTGGGTTTCTTTTATCTTCTTCGGCTTGTTGAGAAACTTGAGCCAAAGATACATTTCCTTTCTTTGTAAAAGATTCTTTGAATGAAGGTTTATTTCAGATGAATTCAAGATCTTTCTCTAGATTCTTTTGAGAGATCTTCGAGACTTTTCTGAAGATCTCAGTCTTTTCAGAATAAGATCCATCTCCTTTGAATTCTATCACATCTGGGTCATATTTGGGAGGATTAGCAATGAAATAGCTAATAACTTTCTTGTTATCAGAAAGATGCCCCTGACACTCATGCTGAGGCAGATCAGGAATGGCAAGTTGTAGATATCCATTTCCTTGTGCTCCAAAAATACTGCAACAATAGCTCATGATTTGCTCTTAATTTAAATAAATATTACTTAAAATCTCAGACTCAATCTTTTAATACCATTTAGGGGTTTTGGGGTTTTGGGGTTTTGGGG